TGTCAGCACCACCAAGCACTCTGACCGGAAGTACTGGCAATAGTGGTGGTAAGAAGCAGCGCAAGCGCCGCCAGGCTGGGCAAGATCCAGCAAGTGCAACAGCCACTTCTGCGTTACCTATTGGAGGCTCAGCATCAGGTTCGCAGAAGTCACATTGCCCTGTCGCGGTCGGAGGTTTCACGACCTCTGCAAACGGCCCCTCGGCAGCTAAATTGCCGCGGCTTGGTCATGCACCCTGTCCTTCTGGCCCTCTGACAATGATTATGATGCCCCAATCTTCCGGGGTTTCCGGACTCCCAGGAGCAAGCTCGGCTTGCTCTGCCTCCGAAACTGGTATGATGATTATGCATTCTTCAAACACATCTGCTAATGGAACCATCTCTTCTGCCACTTCAACCTCAATGCCTGTAGCTCGTGTAATTTCTTCAGGTTCTATTGCTGGAGGCCTGAGCTTATCGGCCTCTACTAGTTCTCTTGCCTCCACTTCCGTCTCTGGCTCTGCTGTCTCTAACATCGCATCCGCTGTCGCCTCTTCAGCCTCAAACTCTACAAATGCCTTGCCTTCCGGTCGTTCAGTATATGATTTCGACGATACTCCCGTTACGATAGCTATCGGGACCAGCACTACGGCACTTATGATGATGTCAAATACAGCTACAACGATGCCGTCGGCATTAGTTACTTCATCCTCCGGATCTAGTGTCTCTTCGTCTAGTTCAGCAAATCCTCTACCCACGGGAAGTGGAGGGATGCTAATCGGACCTGTAGGGACTATCCCACCGGGTCTTGTCAAGTCACCTCCTCTCTCAACACTTACTAGTATCGCGGCTGGTGGAGCCGGAATTTCTTCCGGCAATCTCAGCGGCAGCAGTTCCACCTGTGGCATTGTTGGCGGCAACATTGGCAGCTCTGTTAGCGTTCCTGGTACTGGCATTGGTGGAATGTCTCATATGATAGCCACTTCTGGTGGGACAACTGAATCTGGTCTAATATCTGATAGAGCGGGTACTCATTTAGTTACCAATTCTACTTCTACCTCCCACAGCAGCAGCTCATGTTCAAGTAAGATGTTATTTTTTAAGTTATTGAGGGGGAAATTTTACTTTTAATTAGGCATTAATTTGGCTCCGAATTTCGTGCTATTTCAATTGCATATCGGCATTCATATTTTTAATTTTTTTGTTTCCTTTTATCCACACATCCACTAAGAATTTTAGTATTTTATTTTGACCTTTTTTAAACTGCGAGTAAAACTTCTCAAGTGGGCGAAACTTCATTTAACCCGCATAAAACTTTTGAAAATTAAGACAGATTAACTATCGATTTATTTTTGAATAATTTATTTATGGATACAAAGAGTAACTTGGTTTTGATGAATCTCCTGCGATAATAATGTTTAAAAGACTTTCATTTCGTATGATTGTGCATGGAGAAGAGATTCGGAGGCCGATCTTACCAGAAGACGACGGCTAATTACCGTTGTACTGTAGCCCTTTAGCTTTAATACCACGCTCAGGTTGATGCGATCAATGAGACATCCTCCCTCGTTTTGGGTGAAAACGAGCTGAAATTTTGTCTTTCATATAATGGGCATCATCAGAGCTGGAACCCATTCTTGTAAGTCTCACGTTAACACTAGGCCAAGAAAACTATCCGGCTCTATCTTGTGACTAAATTTGAGTAAGAAAGATTGATTGAAATATTGAAGGTGATGTAGGATGTTGAGCCACCATCCAAAAAAAGGCGACTCAACTTGTCCGCTTAGTGATGGTTCTAATTTTGCTCACACTCATCTAACATGGTAGATTAAGCTCATAATACAAACCAGACTTAGTAGATTACGCAGCTTCAGCCAGGCCCTTCATTAGGTTAGTAAACCTTAATGACTCTAGACTCTGGTTTCATAAGCTTTCTTACTCACTTACAAGCTTACATCTCATTTTCTCAACCATACTTGCTTACGGACCTACACAGTCTCGGTCATTAAGTCTTGATGACCAGAGCCTGACAGAGCGTATAGACATCTGCACACACACACACATAGACACTAACAAACTAGGATAACAAATATAAAAGATAACTTGCCAAGCCATTCTATATCTATCTCTGCTTCTTATTTGAGTATATATAAGAGATAAAGTGGGTCCAGATAGTCTTCTTAACCGAATATTTACCTGAGGCTTTTACAAAAATGAGCTTCAGCTCTAATGATGTTTATCATATGATGGACAAAAGCACAGTCCGTTTTTCCTAAGACGATAGAGGATGTCCCGTAGACTGGGTCAACCTGAACGTTGTATTAAAGCCAAACGGCTATAGTACAACGGGAATCAGCCGTTGACTTTGAGTGGGATCGAGCTTCGAGTCTTTTCTTCATTCATTTTTATAGGAAATGATAATCGTCTTAACGCTTTATTTATAGAGTTACATAGTCTTCTCAAATTATTCGGAAAGCAGAAATAGTTACAGACGCGCGTCTAAATCCTAAATATCTGGCTGTAAAGAAGTAGATTGACCTTGTTTTCACAACTTGGTCATATTGGTAGGAAGTCTTAAAGGAACGCATCTAGTCCGGAGTTCATTGTAGACG